CTAAGAAATTGTAATCCTTGTCCACCAAGGAATTGGGTATGTGACTCTATAAATAGACACTTAGGCTATTGTTAAGAGTTATGAGTTGAAAGAGATGTAGCCTCATGAGGGAGCACGTTGATGGTAGGGGTGAGTTACGAGTTTGGTAGAGTGAACACTGATGGTGAGAGGGAGTCTCGTGGAGTACACGGAAAACTCGGTCAAGAGTTTGTGTGCATGGTCTGGTGTTGAAATTATTTACTATTGTAATATCTCTACATATATAGTGAATCTCTTCTCATCCGTGGATGTAACCCAGATTTTGGGTGAACTACGTATATATCTTGTGCTGTGATTTGAATTATTGTTTTCTCTCCCAACAACTGGTATCAGAACCAAAGGTGAAGAAGATCCAGAAAACACAAGAAGTCTCAACATGTGCTACAACGGGCTTCAGTTGTAGGTGGAGTCAATCAGCTTGGTTACATGGCATGGAGCTTGAGTAGTCAAGGTGGAGCCTTAGGGTTTTGACTGATTGAGCAACGTATAGTGGAGGTTTCAATTAGACTAGGTCCCGTGGTTTTTGTTCCTCACATTGGGGAAATTTTTCACGTAAAAAATTGCTTGTATTCTTGTGGCTTGGTGTGATTGTTTTTTTTTTTTTTTTTTTTTTTTTTTTTCCTATTATTTTCAGCACATATAAAAGTAGAGATATACTATATTTGCTTGCATATAGGGAGAAGAGTCATTCCACTATATTTGTTTATTGTTATCTCTCCCAACAGTTCGCACTTCCACATACCAAAATATTTGTGAGCCTGTGAGGTTACGTATTTTTTTGGTATTATTCAAATTTTCGTATTTATTTTATTTTAGGCATCGTTTAGTGTACTGAGTGGGTCCCATAGTTTATTTAGGGCATTTATTTGAATTTGTAACTCTTAAAATTGCATTACGGTTCATTTATCCATTTTTTTCCATTTTTTGAAATTTTGAACCAGGTCAAGTGTGAGCCCCATGCCTGGATTTTTTGTGCATGGAAATTTTTTTGAGTCCATTTGCACTTCATTATTATTATTTGATGCATATGTATGTGTATATAGTTAGTTTTATTCAATTAGGCCAATACCATAAAACTTTTCGAATCTATAACAGAAAAAAAGCATTAAAATGAAAGTGCAAATGAGAAGAAACAGTACTCATACCACATGTCTACATTATCATTACTTTAGATCTAATATAAAAAACCAAGAAATAAAAATGAAACAAATAGTTTCATTTTGAAATAATAACATCATTACTAGCCCAACTATTATTTTCTTTAAAACAATATGTAATTCTTGCTGCATGTTTCTGAGCAGGAACCCACACAGGTCTCTACTTTTTCTTCCCCTGAAAAAAATAAAAATAAATAAGATATAAATATATATTTCTATATATATATATATATATATATATAGAGAGAGAGAGAGAGAGAGAGAGACGAATTACCTGGGTTTTGTAATGTGCTGATATTGGTGCACAATGAAGAAGCACAACCAAGCTTGCAAAAGTCATGAGTACTTGATTGGCTTAACTTTTGAGGAGGAGACCTTGAAAAGATGCATTTTGCCAAGCATTTTACTGCACATGATGTTATATGAGGGGGAATGTGGAGCGCACAGGAAGCAAAACATTTACCATAGCATTTCCCGATAGCAGCACTAGACTGCCCTACAATCAACCCTAAGACCAAAACAATGAGTACAAGTGCCCTTAATTTGCCTCCCTCCATCTACTCTGTATTGAAGAATAATCTTGATAGCTAGATTACAATGAATTACATCTCCTATATGCTCTAAGAAGGGTATATATAATGGTGGAACTTTGAGAGGATTTTCTAAATTCTTTATTGCATAAGTTTTTTATTGAGCCTATTTATTTTTATATTAGTGGCCTATTTATTTTGATTTTATTGGGCCTATTTATTTTCTTTATTTCTCCTATTTATGTGATTTATTGGGTTATTCAATTTGGCTATTTAGGTAATTTATTGGATTTATTTAATTTCTATACATTCCAAAACGTCCTTATTTCAATGGCTAGCTTATTTAATTTCGCCATTACAAGACCTCGTGCTTTGCCTATTCAATTGTGTCTCCATCTCCATGTAGTATTTTATTTTTGTGATTCGATGTTAGGTTAGCCACGGTTGTTCTTGCTTCATTGCAATTGTATTTCAATGTGATGATTCCATACATAAAACTCTCTCTTGGACCAAATATGTGGGGCTTATCGTCCTTTCTACTGCCATATGAAATTGTTCCACTCATTCTCTTGTTCTACTTGACCAAATTCCTTTGGAAAAATTCACATTGATCATAGTAACCTGCCTAATATTTAATATTTTATTAATTATGTTTGGAAAGAATGGAATGGAGTTTACCCAAACAATAGAAAAGTAATGTATTATTTGTTTACCTTCTCTCTATATATATAACCCACAAACATCAGACAATTTACGGAGGAAATCGGTTTTTAAATTCCCAGAAACTTCACGATTATATAGCATATACATTATTTTGTAAATAATAATGTGTATATATATATATATATATATATATATATATATATTATAATGTACAATGGCTCCATACAATGAGCAATAAAGTAAATAAAATAAAGTTAAGCACAAAAATAAACAATTAAACATCCAGGGACACAAATTATGAAAAATAAAGTAAAGAAAATAAAGTTAAGTTTGAGAATGTCAATGGAATTTTTAGCGTGAAACTCCCATGGTGAAAAACTTCCAACTAGGAAGAAAACCACAGATACCTTTCCGTCCTTGGTGAAATTAATCCAATATCTCGAAGAAAAGTTCAAAACTATGACTCGGCACGCCTCACACCTTCTCCAATTTATTAAGAACTAGTTGCTAAACGTCTTTGGCTTTGTCACTCATCATCCATACGTTTTTGACTTTAGGCTTATTCCTCTATCCTTGAAAATAGGTTGCTAGTAGAACACAAACACTCCTCAAATAATTTTGTTCCATTCGTAGGGACTAATTCCCCTTTTGTACAAAAATATATATGAAGACTTAAGAAGGAGTTTTGTTGGTATGATCAACCTCAGTAATTTGAAGTAGACATGTAAGGTCTCGTTCAGCATATGAAGAATATCACCCTAAATCACTCATGTGAAGACTTAAAAATTTTAAATGATGAATATAACTTTTATTACAAACTAGTATAAAAATGTATCATTATAGTAGTGAAATTCATAGTCAAAGTCAAATTTTAAATTGCAGGGGATGATTCTCCATTTTGATGAGAAAAAAATAATACTAATAAATAAATGCAGACATATGGTGCCCACATGTCTTTTATAACATACAACAATTTACCTACTAGTACGACTACAAACTTGAGAATCACAATGCCAAGAAAAGGCGGCATCTACAATGGACTAGGATCACCTCCAGTTGCATAGTAGTCCATTTACTCCATTTTGGGTTAATGAACAGTGTTTACTATGTTTGGTAAAATTATATATTTTCCTAATACAAAATTTTTGTGTATATATATATGTATGTATATACTGTTCAACTATACACCCTTTTGTTCCCTCCCTTATTTCTTCTTCCTCTTTCCTCCCTCATTTCAGCAATCCATTTGAAATAGAAATCAAATCCTGCCACTAGCCTTCTTCTCTCCCACAATTTGAATGAAGCCATTTTAGAAATTTATTTCTTTCCATATAGAAGCCGGAAGCAGCGTTTGTTGTGTGAACCAACCCAAAATTTGGATGCTACAAATTGTTTCCAAATAGAAGCAACACTTATGTCAGTCCCAATAAAATTACAGATTCTGATTTCCTTCCAAAAAGAAGCAGCAGTGTATTTCCAAAGCTAAGCAGGAGTGTATTTCCAAATCGAAGCAGGAGATCGCCTTATTTCCAACCCTAAGCAGGTATGATTCATAATTTTCAGATTTGATTTTGAAGTAAATCATCTTATTTCCATAAGAATTGAATGACAGAAACAAATATATTTAGTAAGAATATATAAACAAATTTTTGGTAAGCAACCCAGAAATAGAAAATTATTGGAGAATTTGAATTGATCGCTTTTTTATTATGCAATTATTAGGGGTTTTAATGTCTGTTTGTGAGGATAAAAAATGAGAGGATTTGTAGAGTACATGACTGGACAAAAAAGAGTGTTTCAGAGTGTTACAATGTTAAGAAAATGTTTAGTCGTTGGGCTTGCATTGCAACGTTTTCCTAAGTTGCATCCCAACTTTCTCCTAATAAGCATACCAAATTCTTCTTTATCTACATTTCAATATTTTTGTAAAGTGAGTCACTACATTTTCCTAAGGTACATCCTAACATTTTCATAATATAAATCCCAAAGTATTTATGAAGTATATCCCAATATTTTCCTAATATGCATCCCAAAGTTTTCGTAATATACATCCCAACTTTTTCAAAAGGTGCATCCCAAACTTTTCCTAAGGTGGGTTCCAACTATTTTGTAAGGTGAATCCCAACTATTTACTAACATTAGTTCCAAATTTTGTGTAATATTAATCCCAACATTTTCATAAAGTGTATGTCAAGTTAGCATCAGTTGGTTGGACATATATGTTCTATTGTGGCATAGAGGATTTTTATCCTTGTTTGTCTGGGATATACTTGATTGATACATGCAAAGAAATGAATGTGATATATGTCAAATTTAATTGGTCATACATGTGAAGAGGTTTTTTATTTGATTGGTCATACATGTGGAAAGGTTTATTATTTGAGCTGTTGAGATGGAACATACTTGGGATGTAGAAGTAAATTTTTTTCTTTTCTTTTTTTTTTTTTTTTTTTTTTTTTTTTTTTTTAATATTTTGTGCATATGTGAGAAAAAGTTTTGTATTTGAGCCCTTCAGATGGAAGGTAAAGTAAATACTATTCAAGACACAACAAACGGAAGAAACGTTCTAGTTGTAGAATCAGAAGTGATTAAATAGAAACCAATGTGTAAAATGGAGTTTGATAGTGAGGAAGAGGCATATGATTTTTACAATGCATATGGTGGTCGAATTGGTTTTAGCATCCAGAAGGAGTATGGCAATAAAGTTAATGGAAGAATTATATCAAGGGCGTTAGTTTGTAGCAAGGAAGGTGTGAAGGGGACTGATAAACAAGATGTATTTAGAAAAACCCCCTGGGCTAAAACACGAACCAATTGTGGTGCATGAATGGTTCTTAGATATGACAAGACAAAGGCAAATTACGCAGTTTCTAAATTTGTAGAAAGTCACAACCATCCATTGATAATTGCTTAATGCAACCATATGATGCCGTCCTAGAGACGAATTTTCTCAGTCCAAGCTATTGATGTTGAGTTAGCTTCGGATTTAAGAGTTCTGGCTTGCAATGCATATGAGTTGATGGGAAGGAAATCTAGTGGCAAAGAATCAATTGGGTACTTGAAAGTGGATCTTAAAAATTATCTAAGAACGCGAAGACAAAAGGAGCTTCTTTATGGAAATGCGGCATGAATTATGAATTATTTTGAGACGCGTGCTTGTGGAGATCCTTCGTTCTTTTATTCCTTGCAATTGGATACTGAGTAAATGATTACGAACATATTCTGGTTAGATTTTAGAATGATCATTGATTTGGCCATTTTGGAGATGTTATCAGTTTCGACACAACGTACAAAGTGGTATATAGCAATATACCATTTGCAAAGTTCTTGGGTATGAATCATCACTGGGAGACCGCTGTGTTTGGAGCAACCTTAATGTATGATGAGACAGCGGATTCGTTTGTCAGGTTATTTGAAATGTTCTTGAAAGCGATGAGCGGAAAAACGCCAAAGACGATTATTACGGATCAAGACGCTGCAATGGCAAAGGCATTAAAGTAGGTGAATAACTTTCATGCATCTCCATTCTTGTCCCTTTGTATGCTAAAACAACTGTATTATTTCAGTCGTATTTTTTGTATTTGCAATATTGCAACACGGGTATTAAGTTAATTAATCTTGTAGGTTATGCCGGTGATGAAGCATCATTTATGTGTTTGGCACTTAATGAATAATGCGTAGAAGAACATACTTTTTCTGTTTAAATGCGTTGAAGGAATAAAGAAAGTCATCTCAAAATTAATGTTCCAAATTGAGGAGGAGGATGATTTGATCAGGGAATGAGATTTAATGATTGCAGAGTATGGTGTTGCTAGTAATAAGTGGCTTTCCACTTTGTTAGATTTGAGACATAAATGGGCCATGGCATTTGTCAAACACGACTGGTCTACAAGAATGAATAGCATGCAATTGAGGGAAAGCTTCAATAGTCAATTGAAGTATTACCTTTTCAGATAACTTATTCTACCAGAATTTTTCACACACTTTGATAGATTGTTGTCGGACAAGCGGTACAAGGAGTATGAAGCCAAGTATGGCTTGCTGGAGAGGCAACCATAACTAAAAACAAAGTGCCATATATTACGTCAAGCGGAGAAGGTGTACACCAAGGCAATATTTCAGCTTTTCTAGGAGGAGTTTTTAGCTGCTATTGCGAGTGAAGCTGTTATTAGTTGCAATGACTTAGATAACAATGGACACCGTGTTTATAAAGTTTCTGGTGAGGACGGGGTGTAACGTCGTGTGAGCAGGACATTTGAAGATCAATTGTCATGCTCATGTTGTAAATCTAAAATAGAAGGTTATTTGTGCAGGCATAGTCTAAAAATCCTTAAAGACTGCATGTTTGTGAATGACTTGCCTCCCGATACATAACAAAAAGGTGGACTAGAAATGCTAGAGATGGCAGCTTGGACGAAATTCTTTCCACCAACGTGAATTCGGATCCTCAACTTGAGATTAGGCGATGGCATAGGACACTTTGCCGTATACTGACTGAAATATCTTCCATTGCATCGCACGATCCCGAAGGATATAATGATCTATTAGAAAAAAGCACTGGACTGGAAAAAAATAGTACAAATAAGTTGTGGTCGTAGGTTTGCAGAGAAAACTGCACGGGTAAGGGGAAAAAAAGGGTCAAAAGTAGCAGTGGAACAATTACCATGTCCTTGAAAGTTAAAGATAGCTCTAAAGGATGATTTAAGAGGTTAAAACCAGCCATATAGTTAAATAGTGGGAAAAGGAGGAAGTTAACAAAAGCAACAGGCCAGGTATACGTTACTGTCGCATGCACTGGTATTTATTTGTTTAAGTATTTGAACATGCAAACAAAATAAATTCGATTTCATAACATTATATCATTCGTTATAAAACACTTGTCAATGGAAGAAACTAAATTTTTTTATGTTTTAGATATCAAATGAAACTATTGTTTTAGGAGAGGCCGGTGGCAGCGGTAGTTCGTCAACCTCGTCCTACGTGTTAGTGAATGTGAGTATTATTGGAAGTATATAATATAAAAGTAGTTAGTATTCATGACTGTTGGTTAACATGTTGATTATGTATAAAAGTGCATTGACAGTGTTTATATGAAATATTTTAGGGTGCATAAATTCCCGTCGAATTTCTGAATGAAGAATCTTACGTAACACCACCAGCTGTATTTCACAACAGATAGCTTAATATTGGTGAACCATGTACTTCATCAACTAACCATGTAAGTGTGTTAATTAAGAAGCATTATTTTTTTTTTGTATTTCCAAAATGGACCAATTTATATATATATATATATAAACAATATATTACAAAGGTCACATGGGACATATCCCACACCAAACTCTGCCCAGACCAGGCAACATCAGAAAAATTCACACTAAAACCTAATACAAAACAGTGATCATATCTCGGAGGCATACCCCCAAAATGTGCATAACTTCCCACTCAATATATTTTACCAATTCCTTTGGAAAGGAGAATTTAGCATTGTGAAATCTATCATTCCTTTCCTTTCGAAGAAAATACAATGTAGCTGTGAAAAGCATCGTATAAAATTTATTGGTCATGGACTTCACTTTGAACTTTGGGGACACATCCATAGCCACATCTTAAATAGATAAGAAAGGTTGAAAAGGCTATTGACAAAGAGATGCTAGGGTCCTCCATAGCCTTCAACTAAACTCATATCTTCCCAAAATCTAATGTTTATCATCTATAGTGTTGCAATAGAGAATACATCTGCACACCAAAGAAATACCTCGCTTCTGCAAATAAGTATTGCATTCTGCAATACTAAAGTAGCACGTGTGGACCATGTAGGTCTTCCACCATTCCAGTAAATATCAAACCAAAAAATCCTCATGTCTTGTAGTTCTACAAACATTCCAGGCAGCTTTAAAAGATAACTTATTAGCTTGCCAAGTAAATTTGTGTCCCCCTCCATGAATCTTGTATTACAGAAAAACACTAATGTAGATTAGTTGGAATATTATCCATTTTTCGTTGAGCTACAGCAATAAACTCTCCAAAACTCTTGATCGAAAACTGTATGTGAATAAAAAATTGACATCATTTTACCATCACACCAAGGATGAAGAAAAATGTTGATGTAAGTTCCATTTCCAATAACATACTTACAGTTGATCTTTATAAAGTCTCCCAAAATGCAACTATACTCTTTCGTATAGAAGAATTTGAAACCTTTGGAATGACCTGCCAAAATGATGTATTCCTTAGGTAACACGAATAATGTTTATACCTAACCACCGAAATCCTATCTTTGGATAGTAAAAACTCTGAAACTAATACACAGTTTTCAGGTAAATCAATATCCAAAACTTTTCTCACCCCCAAACCACCTTCTTCTTTAGGAGCAGCAAGCTTCTTCCATTTTAAATTCCTCGTATCTTCATAATATCTTCATCATGCCCCCAAATGAAGTTCCTCATTGTCTTTCATATGCCTATAATCATGTATAAAATTCCCTTCCGCATCCTGAATGATAGTGATATTGGCTCGAGCCGTATGCTCTTTAATTTGCTGATGCAAAAACCTTACGCACCTATCTTCGTTTTCCATCTATGTAATTCTTGTCTTTTGAGACAAAAAAATTGTTTCATTAGAGCTAGCACTTTCAAATTTCTGTCTAATATCCTACCCCTCAATGAAAACATCATTCATAGGATTCTCAGCTAAACTCAATTGCACTTGCTCAAGAGACTTCCTAATAGCAATAACCTTCTCAAAAACAGACCCAAACATCTCAACATTCCATTTTTTGACAGCCCTTTTAACCAATCTAAAGTTGTACAGCAGCTTTTGGATTAGATTCCCATGACTCTTACTCTTCCACAAATCAGAGATAATGTTGCCAACCACTGCCTATTTATTCCACACCAACAAAAATTCAAAAGGATTTGGACCTTCATCAGTGTGTAAAGGAATTTTCACTTGAAGTCCCCTATGATCTGAAATCAATGCTGTGGAGTAAGAATTGTTGGCCTAAGGATTCTATTTAAAGGTTTATCTTATGTTTTGATGATTACAATCCATTAATGATGTTTATATACTAATATTTTCATTGAGTGAAGTACAGTTGTTCAATCATTCAATCCTTAATGATGAGCTAGAAGTTCCATTTCAAGCATTCCAAACACTCAAGAAATGATTTCAAAGAAGCATCAAAGTGCAAGAAAATAAAGAAGAACTCGGTCCTCAAAGATCATTCAAGCTTTTCAGATAATCTTCATCAAGCCTAGACGATCATAATCAAGAAATGAAGAAAAGGGTAGATAGGATGGTGATATGCTAAGGTTCAATGTCAAAGTTTAGTTGAATATATTTTGAAGCTCAAAATTACAATTCATGCATATCATTCTCATCTCATCTCTCCAAGAACATAAAATTAGCTCATTAGTTTTTTTTTTTAAACACATTCATATGAGCCTTACATCATACTGGATTTCATTTCAAGCCTCCTACTGAAAGTAGAGAAGGCTCTACAAAAAGTAGAGAAGGCTCCAAAAATTTAGAGAAGGCTCCACTTTTCTATTGAGCCGTCTCTTTTTCAGAAAAAGAGCCTGCTCCACTTTTTTAATGGAACCGCCTCCATTTGAATTTGAGCCGCCTCCACTTTTGCAAAGAGCCAGCTCCTTCTAGGGTTTTGATCTGCAACGGAAACTTTTTCATTTATTGTTGTCCAACCACCTGCAACAACTATATCGACCATTATTTATCTATAAATACAGAGGTTGGTCTGCATAAAAAAGACACACACTTACAGAGAGCATTCTACCATTTCTAAAAAGTATTAAAGAAGCATTCGTTGAGCCTTCATTCCCTCTGCTTTCATTTCCTCTCTTTATTTCATTCTACTGTAGTAGTTCTGGGCTTCAGATATATATTCATCTTTACTATAGTCGTGAGCAGAACTGTGTACTTCTATCTTTGAGAGATTTATTGTACAATTCATTTCTTTTCAAGTTATTGTAAAAGGGTTGGTGTGACCCAAAAGAAAGTCTAGGAGAAGGGTGTTCTCTTAGCAAGGAAGAGAAGCAAGGTCTTACTTAAACTAAAGGTTTGCTCTCCACCATTAAGGAGAAGCTCTAGTGATTTTGCGAAGTCTCAAGGGGG